AATTGAGTCAGTGATAAAAAAAAATCTCCAAAAAAAGAAAAACCCAGAACCAGACAGATTTACAGCCAAATTCTGCCAAACATGCAGAGAAGAACTGGTACTTATCCTACTGAAACTGTTCCAAAAGTTTTAGAAGGAAAGAATCTTCCCTAACTCATTCTACAAGGCTAATATCACCTTAATATCAAAATGAGACAAGGACACAAGAAGAAAAGGAAACTACACATCAATATCCCTAAGGAACATAGATGAAAAAAAAATCCTCAACAAAATACTAGCAAACCGAATCCAACAGCACATCAAAAAGATAATATACCGTGATCAAGTGGGCTTTGTGCCAGGCATGCAAGGATGATTCAACATACACAAATCAGTAAATGTGATATATCACATAAATAGTATTAAGGACAAAAAACATATCTCAATAGATGCAGAAAAAGCATTTGGTAAAATTCAGCATCCCTTCATGATAAAAACCCTCAACAAACTAGGTATAGAAAGAACATACCTCAAAATATAAGGGTCAGGTGGGAGGATTGCTTGAGGTCAGGAGTTTGAGACCAGCCTGAGCAAGAACAAGGGCAAGACCCTGTCTCTACAAACAATAGAAAAATTGGCTGGGTGTGGTGGCATGTGCCTGTAGTCCCAGCTACTCAGGAGGCTGAGGCAGAAGAATCGCTTGAGCCCAGGAGTTTGAGGTTGCAGTGAGTTGTGATGAAGCCACTGCACTGCAGCCTGGGTGACAGAGCAAGACCCTTCCTTGGGAAAACAAAACAAAACAATAAAGGTCATATGTTAATACAACAAACCCACAGCCAACATCATACTGAATGAAAAAAAGTTAAAAGCATTCCCTCTAAGAATTGGAACAAGACAAGGATGCCCAGTTTTTCACCACTTCTATTCAACATAGTGCTGGAAGTCCTAGCCAGAGCAATCAGGCAAGAGAAAGAAATACAAGGCATCCAAACTGGAAAAGAGGAAGTCAATTTATACCTCTTTGCTGATGATACGGTCTTATATCTAGAAAACTCTGAAGACTTCACCAAAAAAACCTTAGATTTGATAAATAAATTCAGTGAAGTTTTGGGATAAAAAATGAAGATACAAAAATCAGTTGCATTTCTATGCATCAGTAATGATTTACCTCAAACCAAATCAAGAAGGCAATCCCATTTACAATAACTACAAAAAATATGATTATATTTACCAAAGGAAGTGGAAGATCTCTACAAGGAATCTGCAAACACTGATGAAAGAAATTGTGGATGCACAAACAAATGGAAAAACTTCCCATGCTCATGCATCAGAAGAATTGATACTGTTGAAATGACCATATTACCCAAAGCAATCTGTAGATTGAATATAATTTCTATCAAAAATACCAACTTCATTTTTCACAGTATTAAAAAAAAAATCCTAAAATTCATATGCAACCAAAAAAGAGCCTGAATAGCCAAAGCAATCTTGAGCAAAAAGAACAAATCTGGAAACATCACATTACCTGATTTCAAATTATACTACAAGGTTGTGGTAACCAAAACAGCATGTACTGATACAAAAATAGACACATAAATCAATGGAACAATATAGAGAACACAGAAATAAAGCCACATATTTACAGCCAAAGTTGACAAGAATGTAAAATGAGGAAAGTACAACCTTTTCAATAAATGGTGCTGAGAAAATTGGATTTCCAGATGCCGAAGAATGAAACTAGACCCCTATCTCTCACCATATTCAAAAGTCAACTTAAAGGTAAGACCCGAAAGTATAAACACACTAGAAGGAAACCTAGAGAAAACTTTTCTGGGTTTTGTTCTAGACAAAGAATTCATGATTAAGACCTCAAAAGCACAGGCAACAAAAACAGAATTAGAAAAATGGGACATAATTAAACTAAAAAGCTTCCGCACAGCAAAGGAAATAATCAATAGAGTGAACAGACAATCTGCAGAATGGAAAAAAATATTTGCAAACTATGCATCCAGCAGGAGACTAATATCCAGAATTTATGAGGAACTCAACTCAACAACAACAAAAAACCCCACATAATCCCATTAAAAAGTAGGCAAAGGACATGAATTTTTCAAATGAAGACATACAAATGGCCAATAGGCATATGAAAAAATGTTCAGCATCACTAATCAGAGAAATGCAAATTAAAACCACAATAAGGTATCATCTTATCCCAGTTGGAAGGCTATTATTAAAAAGACAAAAAGTAACAGCTGTCGGTGAGGATGTGGAGAAAATGGAACTCTTACACTGTTGATGGGAGTGTAAATTAACACAACCTTTGTGGAAAACAGTATGGAGATTTCTCAAAGAACTAAAAATAGAACTACCATTCAATCCAGCAATCCCACTACTAGGGATCTACCCAAAGGAAAGGAAATTATGATGTCAAAAAGTTAACTACACCCATATGTTTATTGCCATGCTATTCACAATAGTAAAGATCTAGAATCAACCTAAGTGTCCATAAGAGGATAATTAGATAAAGAAAATATGATCTATATACATATATGTGTATATACACACACACAGACAAAATGGAATACTTCTCAGCCATAAGAAATAATTGTATTGTCAAGAAAATGTTAATTTGTGTTACTGTGTTTGAAGGTGTATGGAGGCAGGAAAACATATTTTAGAAGTAGTTTGATTTAGATTTTTCTTTTGAACATAGCTATCTTTCATCTCTCTGGAAAACTCTTAAATTATTGAACAACTCAGAGGGGTTTGTGATGACTAGGATTTTACTATTTTAAAGAAAAATAATGTATTTCAACAGCCATCCACATTTACATTAATTATTATGAAGACTGGGATTTGAATGAGCTGATTTTCACAAATTGATATCCAGTACCTAGACTGGGTTACTGACATAAATGTAGAACATAATTACTATTAAAGAAATAGAAGAAAAAGTGTGAGGATAGAGTACTATATTTGAAAATTAATTTATAAAAATAGAATGTAGGAGGAAATAATAGAAATTAATTGATAAAAAGATTGTATACTATTCTGATAGATATGAAATGCAATTAAAATAGGTAAAGTTCACTTGAGCAATTCAGAAATCTTATTTTCATGCTTCATAATTTGTTAAGGTCTTGAATAGTGGTTATTGAATAGCACTTTAAGATTATAAAGCCAAAACCTCTTGAAAAATAGTCATTCTTGTTTAGGGAAGGTAGGATCTCATATAGCACCTTAAACATAGGCGTATAATTAATGAATGGGACAGAAAAATTTTAGTACATGTAGTAAACAGTTTTAATGAGAATAGACATAAAGTAAGTAAAAGATAATCATATGCTAATGCTGAAATCACTGCTGTCATCACTTGGAAGTGTTTTATAATATGTTATTTCTTGGCTTGGACTCTGGAAATTTAGTATATGTTTCTGTTTGATTTCTTGGTATACATTTCTATCTCCCTCTCTGTAGGAACTACCTGTATGTAACTTTTAGTAACTGATTAATTCCTATATAGTGGGGAAAACCTTTCCACCATTCGTTGGTGGGACGGGATTTGGGGATGGGAGTAGATTGAAAGCAGATATGGTAGATTTCCTTGTGCTAAATTGCACAAGAAGCCGATTGGGGTTTGGGGAGAGATGTGAGGAATCCACTACGACACTTCTCTAGCTCTGAACGGTATGGAGAATTCATAGCCAACGGTTATATAATAACTTTCTGCCTTTAGTGCCTGTTTTTTTGTTTCCATTTTTATCTTTTTTTTTTTTAACCGAGTGTCAAATTAGTGCCAAAAAAAAAAAAAAAAATAAAGGAAGGGAACTAAAACAAGCTGTCTCCCCTCTGTGTTTAGAGTATTCATTCCCAGTAGGTGAGAACTATATACCTATACAGCATATTGCTCTTAACTCATAAAGTTTCATGAGAAGTAATTTAAAAATATATAAATGATAACATCTGATAAAGTGTCTCTCTCTATATATATATATATATATATATATATATATACACACACACACACACACACTCTGTGTGTGTGTGTAGATCAGAATGAATAACAATTCATTCTGATCTAAGCCAAAATACATTTTTTAAATTACCAGTTAAATTTTAAGTGACAATATTTTCTGTGATGATGATGTATTTTAAAATAAAATTGTGAAATAGCTCACCTTAACACAGAATTGAATTGGCTATGCTAAAATGAGCCATTTTATCAAGTTCTAAGTATGTATTAAGTGAATTTGATGAATGTATGTATTCATTCATCACATACTTGTTGAACACTTAGAAAGTGGCAGCCATTTTTTTAGGAGCTGGGGATATATACTGGTGAACAAAACAAAGCCCCTGCCTGCAGAGAGATTACATTCTAATGAGACAGTTCAGTGAGAGAGACTTGGAAGTATAAAGGCACTGAGGCCTGAACCAGCTTGTGTTTGGGGAATAGCCAGAAGGCCAGGGAAACTAGAATTGAGTGAGCGAGCTAGGGGAAGAAAGGAAATGAGATCAGAAGGCAAGGCAGAGGCCAGATATTTAGCGCCAAATTTGGATTTTTACCTGATCTGAATTTTATACTTACTTACTTATTTATTTATTTATTACAAAAAAATCACTCCAGCTGTGGGATGGAGAAGAAGCAGTACAGGTGCAAAAGTGGAAACAGGGACACCAGATGTTGTGGTAATGTAGGTGAGAGATGATGATGGCTTGGGCAAGGGTGCTAGAAGTGGAGGTAGTAAGACAAGGGCAGATTCAGAATATTTTTTAAAGGTAGATCTGATAGCACCAGCTGATGTAGGGTTTGAGAGCAGTCATGAGTGATTGATTGCTAAGATTTTGGGCCTAAACGGCTTAGTGAATGATGGTTTGTTTACTGGTTTGCTGAGATTTATGAATATTGGTGCCAAATTTATTCAAAATCTTTACCTCTTAAATGAGAAATGATTACATCAATGTTATCTTAAGTATGTGAAACTTAAAAAAGAAATCACAAAAACTTGTTTTTCTTATAGGCAGAATATGTCCAGCTTGTTACTGAACTTCGAATGACAAGAGCCATTCAGCCTCAGATCAATGCTTTCTTACAAGGCTTTCATATGTTCATTCCACCTTCCCTCATACAGCTTTTTGATGAATATGAATTGGTAAGGAAAAACATCAGTTTTTTAGTTGATGTAATTCAGAAATAATTTTGGAATACTATAACGAATGAAATAATGTATAATGAGACATTTTGGTTTAATGTTCATTTTTAGAGATTTGCTTGTGGTTGTAGTTCTCTTAAACTCAATAACCAGATTAGCAATTCCTTAATGTGAAATAGGGTGAAATGGTAATAAACAAAAATGGAATATATTTCTGTATCTTCTACATGGGAGATGTTGAAGGCTAGTCTTTCCTTAAGCAGTATTCCACATTATTTGTGAATTTTTGTTTGACCACGTGAAGTAGAGTGCTGATACTAGCTCCTTGTACTTTCAAAAAGTTTGAGAGTTTTTCTTGTTGTATAGGTGTTATCTTCTCCAGCAACTTAGTTTTGCCACGTGTGTAATTTTATAATTCTATATTTCAAACCTTTCTATAGTCCACTGTTTTGCTATGTTCTAGTCCCTAATGAATGTTTTGTTTTGCTGCTTTTGTAATCGAACAGGATTTCTAATTTTATATGATTTATGTCTATATTTTTCTCCATTTGCTTTTTTCTCTTTTATTTTTGATAATTATTTTCAAACTCTGAGTTGTTTAAATCCTTAATAAAACACAGTATTTTAAATAAAGTATAAATGTTTTCTCATTATATTTAAAAAATATAATTTGGAATAGTAAATTCCAGATTAGTAGAAAAGTACTCTTTGGTTTTTATCTGTCTCATAAAATTAGTTTTACCCTATACCTTTTATTTTAATATATGAATAAGGATACCAATATATACCTTTAATGTTACATATATGTCAGTATTTTTAATGTTTCACTCATAGTATATCTTAGGAAACAAAATTTGCTGATAAATTTTGAAGTTCATTGTGACTTAGTTTCATTAAACAAATTTTGAGATTTTTTTTGTGTTTTTATCTGTAAGAGTAATGGCTTCAATTAGCATAGATTCATCCAATTTTTATGTAACAACAGAAGTTATTTTTAGCATGTAAAAATGAAGGACTCTTATTAGCTATAATTAGACATGACTGAAAGCTGACTTTTTCTGTACTATACTTGGATTAAATTAACCTTTTGAAGTTCAAAACAGAGAATTACATTATTTTCTGGACCTATGTGTATGTAAAAAACATATAACAACAACAAAAATAATTGATGAAAACTGCCTTATGATTTACTGATAGTAAATTTATAAAACTTTTTATTGAATTATAATATACACCCAGAACAGTACACACATCATAAATGTACAGCTTGATGAGTTTTAACAAACTGAACACACCTATGAAACCTGCACCCAGATTAAGAAACAGAGAAATCCTAGCACCTCATATATCACACTAATGTCCCCTTCTAATTCCTATCCCTCCTCAAGGGTAACCATTCTCCTGACTTCTAAAATTATAGATTAGGTTTGCCTCTTTTAGAACTGTATAAATAGAACAGATCTGGCTTTTTTATTAATAGCTCGACTTTTTGTTTGTGAGACTCATTGCATGCAGTTGTAATTTATTCATTTTAATTGCTGAATAGTATTTCATTGTATCAGTTTCCTTTTGTCTTTTCTACTCTTGATGAACATTTAGTAGGTACTTTTCAGTTCTGAGCTGTTTCAAGTCCTGCTGCTACAAATATTGTAGTGTTTATCTTTAGGAGAACATATGTGTGCATTCTGTAGGTTATGTACCTTGGAATGGGATTGTTGGGACATAGGATGTGCATGTATTCCATTTTAGTAGATACTAGCAAATAGGTTTCCAAAATGGTGTGTCAATTTATACTCCTACCAGCGTGTATTAGAGTTCTGAGTGTTCCATGTTCTCATCAGCATTTGATATTTCCTGTCTTCTTCATTTTTACCATTCTGGTAGATAAGTAGTGGTCTTGTGATTTTAATTTGTGTTTCCCTGATGACTGATGAAGTTGCACACCTTTTATGTTTATGGCCATTCTGTGTACTCTTGATTTTGAAGTGTCTTACTAATTTGTCCACTTCTCTATTGTCTTTTCTATGTTTTTGTTACTGATTTGTAGGATTCTTTATTCTTTATATGAGTCTTCTGTCAGATACATGTGTTGTGAATATCTTCTGGTATCTTTCAGTAAATAAAAATTTTTAGTTTTAACACAGTTCAGTTTATCAGTTTGTTTTTTTTTTTTAAATGGATGAAGATTTTTGTGTCCTGCTCAAGGAACTATTTCTTATTCCAAGATCATGAAGGTATTTTCCTATGTTTTCTTCTAAAAGCTTTATTCCTTTATCTTTCAAATTCACTTCTGCTACTGGTAAGTTTTTAATTGTGGTTCTTATATTAGAAGTTAGGTCAGGATTCCTAGCTTGTCTTGTACTTTGGATTTACTAGATTGAGCTGATTCATATGGTGGGATTATTTTGGGAAGATCAATATTATAGGCATGGCCCTGATTTATATGGTGATAATAATTATTATTAAGCGTTTATTATTTGCCAGGCAATTTATATGTATTAACTTTTAAAATCGTCACAACAAACCTCTGAGGTAAGTATTATTATCCTCATTTTATAGATGCCAAAGAAGGTATGGTATTTGCTCATGGTCTTAAAATATGTGTTAGAGCCGGTCTGTGAACCCGTGTTCTCTGACCTCAGAGCTCAGATCTCTTCATCGATATTGCCAAACTTCCTCTTGATGGCATGAGTAATAAGTGAGACATGGTTTCAGAACCTTTCAGATGACTTTGTCTCTTTCATAGGAAAGGGCAATACTATACTGATAAAGGAAACTTTAAAAAAAATTATTGGAAATAGCTAGATGTGCATCTGAGTTAAAGGATTCAGGTTAAATTCTAGAGTTTTAGTGAGGAGGTGATATCTAGTATCTCCAGTGTTCTAAACTGGAAGTGTATTCATCGATCATAGATAGAAGGCAGTACTAAGTCAAGAGGTGATTCTGGACTATTCTTTCATACTGTGCTGCTTATGAGTTTATCCATGATGGTACCAGAATATAAAAACATTGAGTCATGTGAATGCTGGGTAAGCTGATGGCTATAAATACTTGCATGATTCCATTTCTGACCTTTAGTATTGGTTGTGTACGTTACATCCAGTTCCAACAGATGGATTCAGTTATTTTGTTATATTTTTAAAAACAAGTAAATTAGTGATTGAGACTTAAAATATTTTTGTTATGTATATTTTTTATTGTGAAGTTACCGTTTCATCTATTTGTTTTCAGTTAATTTAGTAACTTTTTTTGCCCAGTTAAGTGGCATAATAAAGATCTTTCTACCTCTTCCCAAAAAGCATAACAAATAAAATGATATTCATGAAATGCTTCAAATTTCTTGAGAGAATATAATCTTAGTCATTTTTATTTGTACTTACTAACAATAAGTACAATAATATTAATATTATTAAAAGCTTATCTCCAGCCTAGAAGGGAAAAGGATTAAACTCATGAATTGTAAGAAATGGGTAAAATTCATTCCTACTCCTTTTTGACAAATCTGTATCAGGGTCCTGCCAGGGGGAAGAATTTCCCCAGATGGCTCAAATAAAGAAACTTTAACAAAAAGACTATTAAAGAGGCTATGTGAGCGGTGTTAAGAATAAACAAGGTCTGGTGATACATCCAGATACTGGCCACAGTGCAGAAAGCCTTTATCATCTTAGGACTGAAGAAATGGGTGGAGGAATTATTGTCAAGAGCCCCATGAGAGTCTGAACTGCTAAGGAGCAGCCACCTGGTGGTATGCGTAGTTGAGGAATCATGGCTACTGCAAAAGTGAGGTGTTGAAGGCAGGGAGGGAGCAGAGAATACCCTCACCTCCAGATTACTTACTGCCTCTGTTTCCTAGAGACCAAACCCAACCCCAAGGCAGCAGGCAAGGGAGCCAGCAGGCAGGAGAGCCAGTCTGCAGTGCAAAGGAAGGTAGATAATGTATTTGGGGGTAGTAAATGGAGACTAACTAGAACATCTTCATCCAGTGAGAGTATTTTAGAGCACTGTGGCAAGGAGGACTAAAACAAACCCTATACTAGCAGTTCTAAAAGTTTTTGGTCTTAGGTCCCCTTGCAACAAAAGAGGTTTTGTTTATGTGGGTTACATCAATGGATATTTACTGTACTTGAAATTAAAACAGAAATGTAAAATATTTTATTCATATAAAAACATTTAAAAAATGAAAACTGCATTTCCCAGAACAAAACAAAAATAGTGGGATGATTGTCATTGTTCTACATTTTTGCAAATTGTTTTAATATCTGGCTTAATAGAAGATAAGCGAGTTCTCATAACTGCCTCTGCACATAATCTGTTGTGATGTATTGTTTGATTGAAGTATGTGAAGAATATCCAACCTCACGTGGATAAGCTGGAAAAGGGAGAACCTTAAAGAACCACTGAATAGATCTCAGAAATGTTTTCAGACATTGCCTTATATAAGTCTTGTTCAGGGCACAGGGTCCAGGTATGTTACAGGAGACATGATTTTGAATCATGTGTATCTAACCATCTACATCCCTGTAATAGCCATGATGTTCTAGCTTGTCAGTATAAATAAGGGTAGGTCAATCATTGCCTCACCCAACAGTGTAAGCATATCCAACTGTGAAATATGAACTAATTCAGAGCTGTGGACAAGCTCTTTTTGTGTTCTCTTGTTCCCTTAAAAAGCATAATGGTAAATACTTTGCCATTCTTAATTTTATTTTTAGTTATATGATTGAGATTTTGTGTGTTTGATAATCTTCCTGGAACAAAGAAACCTGTCAAGAGTCATTAGGAAACTTGCATTTTTTTCTGACTTTGGGGAAAGTTGACTTTAAAGGATCCAAACTATTCCAGAATAGAATTTGTAAAAGGCCTAAATCCTTTTTTAAAAATAGTAACATTTTGTATTACCTCCTTTTGCTTATTGATAAGGATTTCTTGATTATCTTTCCCTTGTTTAATCCAGTATTATTCAGGTCTTTGTTGTCACTTTCATGTTGAGAATACTGTCTCCTTATAGAATTTAACAAATTTGCAAAAAATCATAAAATAGAAATAAACATAAAGTAAACCAAAGCTAATGTTCATAAAATTGTTGTACATATAAACAGTTGTTGCATATGTTTATATTTAAACATGTAAACTGTGATCTCTTCTTATGTTTTAATTATATTGTTTCAATGTGGAAATGTCTCCACATCTCACAATATTTGAGATTATCAGTGTCAAGGATTCTCTCTCAAGTAGTGCTTGTTATTGATGACATGCAGGAACTGTCACAAAAATATATCAGTTTTACATGGGATTAGTTTCCAATTAAGGCAAATTTACCATTTAAATGTAATAACTTTTTTTCCCGAAGAAGATTATTGAAACATTTTTCTTCTTCCCCAAAGGAGCTACTGCTTTCTGGCATGCCAGAAATTGATGTGAGTGATTGGATAAAAAATACAGAATACACAAGTGGCTATGAAAGAGAAGATCCAGTTATTCAGGTAAAATTTCTCTAGAGCTTAGAATGAAGTTAAGTTTTGCCATTTAATTTTGTAAGCTTTTCAGCACTGTTGGATGAAAACCTACATTAATTAACAAAGCAAAGTATTTCCCTAAATTATTCTTATGGGAATATTGCATATGAAAGCTCTGTATGAAATCATTTTTGATAAATGAATTTCATAGAATAAAATATGCTTTATGAATATTGCATATTTCTCTGATATTAAATCTGCAGTTGCTCTAAAACATGAGCTAAATTTTTTGTTCTTGTTGTTAGTGGTTCTGGGAAGTTGTGGAAAATATTACTCAAGAGGAGAGAGTTCTTCTCTTGCAGTTTGTTACTGGCAGGTAAGAGGTGTTTTTGTGATAATATGGAAAGAATTTAATGTATTCCTTTTTTGATGGCTTAGAGATAATCAAAATGAAGAATTATTACTCTGAGTTGTTGGTGTCTTATTTCTCTTTCCACCGTTTTAGGTATTAAACAAAGATTCATTTAGGTATTAAAAAACATTTGTAATAGTGCTCCATAAATCTTTATTTAATGTATTAAAAAAAAACAGTTCCAATCAGGGCTATCATTGCATTATACTTTATAATTTGGTAGTAATCTTTTCATTCTGCAGGTAGGTCAATGATAGTAGCTAAATTTTTAATATTTGTTTGTTGCTGGTTTGGTTTAATAGTGAGGCTATTCAATTTGCCCTGGATAACACATGGACACACTATATATTATTACCCATACACCGCATTTTTTCTGTAATTCTTATCACATTTTAAAGTGTTAAGATTTATGGCCTAAGAAATAATTTTTGATACCACACTTCTTTGAAAAGTCCATTTTTGGAGCCAATTAAACATAATAGATATTAAAAAACTCGATGATTTAACTCTTTTAACGTATATTTCTGAAAGATGTAAAAAAAAGTCTGATTTTCATTTTTGGTAACTTAGAATTTCATCTGTTTCTATTTATGAAAATACTTCAGTTTTTTCATTATGAATGGACATGTTTCATCTAGGAAAGTTGTAAAACACAGAAAATTAGAATAAGGAAAACCACAGCCTGTCAGCAGTTACCACTATAAACAATCTGTTGTATTTATTTCACTATTTTTTCTGCATATTTAAAAACAGAATTGTGAATGTGTCTGTATAAAATGCATATATATATAATTTTTAAAGACTTTTTAGTTTTAAAAGTAGTGCATAACCATTGTTTGGTTAAAAAAGTAGTATATAACAATTTGGAAACTGGAGAAAATACAGGAAAATGAAAAATCCCATTAAGTAATCCTACTATTCAGACATAACCACAATTAGCATTTTGCTTTTTTTTTTTTAGTTTTTTAATTATATAGTTAGGAAAATAGTTAGAGTCACACTATAAATCTAATTTTAAAGAATAAAACTTGACTGTTAATAGGTTATAGGCTAAAGATATCAAAGAAAACCTCGTTGTTAGGTTTTTGTTTGTTTTTTTGCCTGAACGCCAAGAAATACTCAGAGATTTGAGTAATTTAATAAAAAGAATTAAACAATAATTGTATTTTCTATGTAGGAAGGTTAGACATATAAGGGGAAAAAAGTCACCTCGGCTCTCAATTCCTAAAAATAATCACTGATAACATTTTGGTTATTCTCCTAGAATTTTTTTCACATATATAAATCTTTCCCTTTTAAAACCATTGTTATTATTTTATAACTTTTTGAATTTAACACTATATTATTAAAAGTTTTTCCATTTATAGATTTATGTAATTAAAATTTTTTTTATTTTCCATTTATGGACCTCCTTTAATTAGTCCTTTATTGCTAAGTTTTCCCGTTTGTGAATAATGCTCTATAAATAAGGAATTCTTGTGCTTATATTCTTGTGGGGGCAATCTGATTATATAGGATAAATTCTTAGAAGGGAAATTTTTGGATAGAAGAGTATGTGAATTTTTACAACCTTGATACATATTTGTTCATTTACCTTCCAGAAAGGTATCACTATTGACATCAGCAAGGAATGAGAGGACTTACTCCTTTTATTTGTATCACACAGGGTATAATGATTTTTATTTTCATATAATTTTTTATCATGTATATTATTTTTTTGTGTGGTATGAATTGCCTTTCTTTATTCTTTGGTATACGATAGTCATTTTTAAAAATTCAGCTTTAAGTGTTCTTTGTATATTAGGGTTATTAACTCAGCAAATATCTTTCCCAGTTTATCATTTGCCTTTTAACTTTATTAAGTCTACAGATTTCCATGTAACTTTTTTTATTTTTCTAAATGGTTTATTCCTCAACACTATTTACTGAATTATTATATTTTCCCCATGATTTGGTTGGTATGAGTCTTTAAGATACAGAAAAGTTACTCAGGTTCTTTAGTATTTAGTTAAGTCTGTTAAATTGCTGCTCTCATAGAGTAAAAAAACACTAGACTTAGTAATATACAGTGTCCCTCCCGTTTAAATAGTATAGTCCTTGTTAGCAATGCTGAAAAGAACTGCACTGTTTATTATTGAACTGGTCGTGAAGTGTGCCACATTCATCATAATGGAGGTGAGGGACGTGGGTAAAGAATAGCCGAGGTAGCTGAGGGGAAACTACGTAAATCTGTTTCACCCTCAGACTGAAGAATCCACCTTTAAATATTTAGTCTAATTAGAGTTCAAACTCAGAAAGTCTTAAGTTTTTTTAAACTATAATTTTCCTTTTACATTAGACTCCCAGTCATTAGTATAGGTATAGTATTTGCCATTCTAAACTGAAAGTGCGTATTTTTTTTCTTTAGGAATTTTAGGAAAATTCAGATTATCTACTTGTTTATATTTAGATACTGAGATATCTTTCTTCATCTCTATAGTACAATTTAGTGCAACTTACTGAAAAACCCAATGTGTTCCAATGGTAGCACCAACTGTTAATGTTTTGTTGATCTATAAGACTATCTTAAGTGTCTTATTGTTTCATTACCCCTTAAGAATCAGACTTGGTGATTTCTTGTGAATAAAATAGAATTATTCCATTTTTATTTACTGTAATTTTATACTTTATGATATAGCTGTCATAATATGCAACCAAAGACTATTTCACTTATTTTTCTCATACATGCTTATGCCTGATGAATTATGATCTTAGCGTAAGAGCAACTGATTATGTAAGTGTGGAGCCCACCCATATTTGTTTATAGTATAGAGGAAGAGGAGAAAGCCTTCAGGGATGGTTCGTGAATATAGGGTTATAGAATAATTTCAATTTAGATGTTAAAATTGGAGGATCTTCCAATTTTTAAACTTAATATTCAAAATTTAGTTATGTGAAGGACATTAGACTGATCATCCTGATACTGAAATACTGTGCTATAACTTGTGTGAGTCAATGTCAAGGTTTATTTTCTCATCTTGACCTGATAAAGTGGTCATATTTATTTTTAAATTCTACCTCTGTAGGAAACTCAGAACAGTCTGACTTTTGTCCCTTGTTAATTATATAGGCAAAAGTTAAAATACATGGTTTAATTAATATTGAATTTTATTTCAGTTTACAGACAGACATATCCAGGTCTTTAGATATTCTCTTGCCCTAAGTAGGAATTGTTCATACATTAGTGTTTTATTAGCAAGATTCAGGCATACTTTTAATATTCACTTGGATTACTAACGTAAGCTCAGGAATTTTATGATAAACCATGTAATAGCAACCAAACTACTTCCCAGCTAGAAGAGAAAATTGCTGTTTTTAGGGATTCTTTTATATTGGCTTGTTAAATGATTTTTCCCTGTGAATGTATACATATCAATGATTTCAAATAGAAAATCCTGGTGCATTTTTTTTGACTGTGTGTGGGGGGGTAAAAATGGATATCATAAAATTTATCATCTTAACAATTTTTAAGTGTACAGTTTTGTGGTATTAAGTACATTCTCATTGTTATACAACTATCATCATCATCTGTCTCTTAGATTTTTTCATTTTCCCCAACTGAAACTCTGTACATATTAAAAACTAATTTCCCATCTTCCTTCCCCCTAGCCCCTGGCAACCACCATTCTACTTGATGTCTCTGTGAATTTGACTACTCTAGGAACCTCATATAAGTGGAATCATACAATGTTTGTCCTTTTGTGATTGCCTTATTTCACTTAGCATAATGTCTTCAAGGTGCATCCATGTTGTACCATATGTCAAAATTTCCTTCCTTTTTCAGGCTGAATAATAACCCTTGTATATGTACACACACTTTGCTTTATCCATTTATCTGTTGACGAACCCCTGGGTTGCTTCTCCCTTTTGGCTATTGTGAATAAATGCTGCTATGAACGGGGATGTACAGATATTTCATTGAGTCCCTGCAGTTCCTTTGGATATCTACCTAGAAGTAGAATTGCTGGATCACATGGTAATTCTATATTGTAATTCTATTTTTAATGTTTTGAGGAACCCACAAAACCCCTGTTTTCTACCATTTTACATCCCCATCAGCAGTTTCTCCAGATCCTTGCCTGTACTTATGATTTTCTGTTTGGGTTTTCTTTGCTAATGGTCATCTTAATGAGTTTGAAGTGGTATGGTGGTTTTGATTTGCATTTCCCTAGTGATCAGTGATGTTGAGCATCTTTTCATGGGCTTACTGGCTGTGTATCTTTTTTGGAGAACTGTCTTTTCTAGTCCTTTGTCTATTTATTAGTCAGGCTCTTCGTTTTTTTAATGTAGGAGTTCTTTATATATTCTGTATGTCAATCCCTTATCAGATTTATGATTTGCAAATATATTCTCTCATTTCATAGGTTGCCTTTCCATTCTGTTGATACTGTCCCTTGATGTATAAAAATGTTAATTATTATTATTCTCTTTTTTGAGACAGAGTCTTCTCTGTCATCCTGGCTGGAGTACAGTGGTGTCTTTGTAGCTCACTGCAGCCTCAAACTCCTGGGCTTCAAGCAATCCTCCTGTTTCAGCCTCCCAAGTAGCTGGAACTACAGGTGTGCGCCACCATGCCCGGCTAATTTTTTTTATTTTTTATAGAGGCAAGGTCTCCCCGTGTTGCTCGGGCTGGTCTTGAACTCCTGCCCTCAAGTGATCCTCCTGCCTTGGCCTCCTAAAGTGCTGGGATTATAGGCGTGAACCACTGCATCTGACCAAAAGTTTTTAATTTTGATGAAGTCCAACTTATCTATTTTTTCTTTTGTTGTATATGCTTTTGGTGTGATATGTAAGAAATCATTACCAAATTCAATGTCATGAAGGTTTTTCCCTATATTTTATTTTAAGAGTTTTATAGTTTTAGCTCTTACATCCATTTTGAGTTAATTTTTGTATGTGGTGTAAAGTAAGGGTTCAACTTCATTTTTGTTGTAGTGGGTATCCAGTTTTCCCAATATACTTTGTTGAAAAGACTGTCCTTTCCCCATTGAATAATGTTGGCACTCTTGTCAAAAATCATTTGGCCATATATGTGAGGGGTTATTTCTGGCCTCTCTATTCTATTCCATTGGTCTACGTGTCTGTCTTTATTCCAGTAACACAGTGTTTTGATTACCATAGTTTTGTAATAAATTATGAAATCAGGATGTTTGAGCCTCCACCTTTGTTCTTCTTTTTCAAGATTGTTTTGACTATGTGAAGTTCAACATTTCTTCACGTGAACTGAATTATGCTTTGTACTGTGAACCATATGTTAGAAAACATTTTTAATTTTAGCCTTTGAGTATGCATTTAATACTTATTCTTTGCCATCATTCTAATTTATCCAAAAAGCACTACAGCATTTTCATTTTAAAAGCAACAAAATTTTTTTCCAGGATCAGTTTGTTTAATCATGATTACATACACAGGCTAATTTGAAATATTAATTTTCTTTCAAATTGTATAGAACTTGAGAAGTTGTCATTACATTCTCTACAGTCATGTACCTAAGATTAAATTTTTTAGTGATGTGTTATGCATTAAATGTTAGCCTTCTTGTGGTCTCATTATGTTAGGTGACATTTTAAAAAATATGTTTGATATACTGAATATCTGGAAAGAGTAATGTAAAGAATTTTTTAGTTTTCCCACTATGAAAAACAAAACAGAGCAAAAACACCTTTGGGTGTAGATATTTTTCACAAATAGGGAAGTCATTTGAATTACTTGTTCGAGCCTTTATTACTTGAATTAATTAATCAAACCTTCATTTATTTAGCAAATATTTAATGAATATCTGTTAAATGCTAGGCACTTTGCTAACACCAGTGATACAGATGTAAATATGACATGTTTGGGCCCTCAAATTAGTCCCAGTTTAGTAGGGAGACACATAAAAGCAAATAATTGTAAATGCAACATGCTAAATGTAGTAATAGAGATATGTGCTATGGCCAGCTGAAAGCACAGTGTGTCTTAGGGAAATGTGGAGGGTGTCTCTATGGAAGCTTGCTAAATGATCACAAAGTAATTTATAATAATGAGTTGAAGTTCTGTAGATTCAAAATGTCATGTTGTTGTCCTAGAATTGAACGTATTCTTTACGGTAACTTAGAACTTGAAATATATCTGTCATAAATATTTTTCTTTCATGATAACATGTTAAAATGTAAACTCTTAGTTCCAGGGTCCCGCATGGTGGGTTTGCTAATATCATGGGTGGAAGTGGATTGCAAAACTTTACAATTGCTGCTGTGCCATATACTCCAAATCTTTTACCGACTTCAAGTACGTGGTATGTTAAATTGGTTTTCTTTACATGTATTACAAATTGTTTTGATTAATTTTGAATGATCAGAGATCTAATTACTATATTGCTGCATTGAGAGGAAGACCTCATCTATGATATCTACTCAGGATTTGGGAATCACTTATCCTTAGTTCTTTGCTTCCCTTTTTTGGTAGGGGAAATGTTTGGGGAAACCCAAATACCCTAATTTAATTGAATATGATTCAAGTATCACTAAAGTTACACTGTCATAAGTATCACTGAGTTACACCATCATTTTAAACTAAATTGCCCTATTGCTCATTTATTTTAAGCTGAAAGGAACTTATTTTCTTCTACTACATTTGCACACTAAAAGAAACTGCAATGCAGCAGTTTTTTTCTTCTTTTTAAATACTACTTCAGGGTTTTTCAATTTGAATGCAAATTTGAGAGTATGGTTTTATGTTAATTATGAGTAGTGTTTTCACTGCTAGACAAAACAATCAGAAATTGCATAGATTTCCTGTTTAATGGTGGTGTATTTTTTTTTAAAGCATCAACATGCTCAAGTTACCTGAATACCCAAGTAAAGAAATACTCAAGGACAGACTTCTTGTGGCACTACATTGTGGCAGCTATGGTTACACAATGGCATAATGAAGTCTAGAAAACTCATCTGACTACTGATGCACAATTCAGAGTGGCAGAAGTAATTTAAGAAACTGTCAACAGAAAAGCAGCCTAAATGCAACCCATAGGCAGGGCTAATGTTTAAAATTCATAAAGGATCAGGTTTTCTGTTTTTTTCTCTCTCTTTTCTCTTTTATGTTTTCTCTGTGAAACAATTAGAAAATGTAAAAATCACAGTAGACGTTTTAAAAATGCTAATTGAAAGTAGTAGAAACTCTTCCTTTTTTCATATTTAATTTTATCTAACATTGTGTTAAGGAAAATCTTGTTCTACATTCCACCTCTGCCTGTAACTGTCTTGTTAAAAGGGTATTTTCTCTTTATTTTTCTATATAGTAAATTATATAAGGATCCAACTGCTGGTATGTTGTTTTATTGCATGTAAAGTGCCATTTATATTTGGAAAACTATTGTATAGGATGGATTAATTTAGATTGTGTATAAAGCCACAAATATGTATTTTCCCACATTGTATTCTATATTGCAATGATTTTTTTTAGCTTTGTAATATTTTAATATATAATACAGAATTTAGACTGGTGTTACTAACAGCTGATGTATATATTAAAGCTTACACTATATTGTGTGAATTATTTGCATCTTATCAGTGGTCAGTTTTCCATATGTATATATTGTGGTCTCAAAGTTTTTCTTATGCCTTATTTTAATTTATAATGAAGGTAAAATTATAATATTTTGCCATATTTTTTCATTACCTTGTGAGTGCTGAGGATACATCTGAAGAAGTAATCTGATGTGCAGATTACAATTTAAATAAGTAATGTTTTACTTCTGAAACTTGCTTTTGTGATTAAAATGTCAAGTTCAAGTGATACATGCCTAACATAGGGTTTTTGAAGTTTTGGGTGGTCTGATCAATTTTCTTTTGAAAAGATATACTGGAGTAGTTTCAGCATACATTTGAATGGGAAGTGGGAACACTCATAGAAATGCTAACGAATTTGTAATGGTTAGGACCTTGCCTCTGGAAACTAAAAATAGAATATTCAGTGACATTACTATTGGTAAAATGACATATACAGATTTTCTCTTGAGCAGCCAGTGTATTTGTCAGTGATATTTAATTGAGAGACACATACATTGAAAGCTTTGTTAAATTATAAACCTTCTTTAATGCTTTGTTTTTGGTTCTTTCTTGTTACTGTTGGTTTTCTTCCTTAATATTAAGAAAGTATATCTCAACAGATTACATGAAATTTAGGACTTGTTTAAAAATTACTGTTAATCTCTAAAATGAAGATTTAAATATTTTATTTACAATAACTGAAGCTAATAATGTTTTAAGTTTTGATTTTTTGAAACTTGTATAAAAAGTCATTGCCTTTTGAATTTTCAAATAGGTAATTGACTACTTTCATATTACATTACTTATAATTTTAATGTTTACAGACATCTATTTCTGTTTATAATCATACAAAACATTGGCTTTGTCAGCTTGGTTTTTCTGCAAGTATTTATGTAAAATAGTTGATAATATTACGTATTTCATGGTATTTTAGCCATGAATTTGAATGTTTTTTAATATAGATCTGGCAATTTCAGAATTTATTCTTTCATAGTTTTTATTTTTATAAGAATGTAGTTAATGTAAGAAGATTTTTACATGGATTAAAAATACTATTTAAACTTGAGGCAGCAAGTCTTTTTAATTTACTCCATTCCCACAATTTCTTCTGTAAGTGGATGGCTATGTTGAATGCAAGGTAGTATAGAAAAGTGATTAGAAAGATTTTCTTTCCCTTTGGGTAAAAGAAGATTATATTAGTAGGAAAATGATTCAGCTCTTAAAACGTAGTAGTTTCATATAAGGAAGAAAACAAAAATACAGTGCTCTAAAGGAATAAAAATATAAGGCAAGGAAACATATTGTAGGAAGCTGCTTAATGAAAAGATCTGGGCAAGAGTAGATTAAGTTATCCAAATAGTTTGAGGGAATAGTGACCACATAGTTAATAAAATCCATTTTGTAGTTAATCCCAAAACAAAATGTAGTGTAAGCAAATCCCAGCTTTGAAACATTCTGCTGAACACAGCCCCTCCTATTGTGACAGTCTGGTGTTTGGGGGTTGAGGGGAAACGCAAGCTTTAAAGCACAGGTCACAAGTTGGAGGCCCAAGAGATGATTCTTACTCATATGTGTGTTTAATTCTGGAATTTTGAGTGAGTTATCATTTAAAAAATCTTGGATATTTCATGCAGAAGTTCTGGAGTTTTGGCTTCTTTTTGAGAAATAAGACAACCTGACAATATTGAATGCATATTCCTACAAAGCATTATTAGTATGTTGGAACTGAGTAAAAGCTGCTTCTTTGAATGACTGAATGTGCTCTTCATTTTGCCATTTTCTTATCCCAGCCTGCTTGAGTAATTTACATTACCTTCCTGGCCTTTGAAAGCATTGGAATCTGCTTTAAAGAATCTTTGTTGATCAGAAATGTTCCCCTGAGTATAAATTGGTACAAATTCTTTGGAAGACAATTTGGTGGCACTAAATTTTAAAAATATACGCGTAGTCTTTAACCCAACAGTTGTACTTCTTAGAATTTATTTTACAGATCCACTTGTTCATGTACATAAAGATATTTGTACAAGAATGTTCACTGAAGTCTTGTTTGTGATAGAGAAAACCTGGGAATAATTTCAAGTATTATCAGTAGGGGGCTGACTAATAATGTGTTACAACCATAGAATATTAATTAGTATTTACAAAGAATGAAATGGATCAATACATACTGGTATGTAAATGTTTCTAAAGTATGTTAAGTGAAATAATCAAGATGTATAGAAGAGTGATTAGTGTGAGATACAAAGTACATGGGGTTATGTGCAAGAAAAATTTCTGGGAGATGGGCAAGAGACAATTGCTATACCTGGGAAAGAGTTGTATGATGGGATGGACTTTTTTACTGCATAGCCTTTTTTTCCTGTTTCTCTAAATCATATGCCTGTGTTATTTCCTCTCTCTCCCCCTGCCATTTATATATATATAAAAACATCCACTGTGTTTAATCCAGAAAAGAGGTGTCAGTAGTAACAGGTTTTGCTGAATCTATAAAATGCCATAGCAGTAGTGATAAGCAATATTTTCATCACAAAACTTATAATTTTTCAAGTTTAATTAAATTAATGTTTTAAGTTTCCTAATTAAACTCTTTCATAAACAGGCAAAAAAAGGAATGCTTTCTTTCCCACAAAGCTCTATTTCCACATTGCCTGATAATTAGAGCTGTAATTTTTAGTGTTCTAAAATTCTACCTATTAGAGATTTATTTGAATTAATACTTTTTTCCCCAAAACTGGTACTTAATTTGGGAAAATCTGGAAAGCATACATTAGTTACAAACTGATAAAAAGCAATAAATATAATCCCACTACCCAACAATTGTATTTCCCTCTAATCTTTTGCAATGCATTTTTTTACATAGTTGAGTTCATAAAGAATGTAGCACTTAGTATCTTCTTTATCTACTTAGCATTTTATTTTAAACTTGCTTATAAACATAATATGCTGTTGTATGGATGTATCATAATTTACTTGACCATGTCTGTGAAATTACATTTAGATTTCTAATACTTTTGCTTTTATTATATAAATACCAGTCTCTTTAAAAACTGCTTATAGTCTAGGAATGGTAATGTTAATCTCGGTTGTCGAAATGGCCATCTCTGTGGTCATAGAATTACTGCTTGAAGGCTCAAGAAAGGGCTGTTGGAACATAGAGCACTTTGGTAGGTAGAACCAAGTGGGATTGCTGTAGCAGCACAGGTAGGGTAAAAGGGTTAGAAAGGAAGGTAGAAGTGTGTGACAAAAGTAGTTATTTTAATAATTGCTAACTTCAGTCTTTTTCCCAAGAACAGAGGAGGGAACTCATCTTCTATATGACACAAGCCCAATTCTCAGGACCCAGAACTCAAGCATTTGCTATTAAATTGTATAGTTCAGTTGTGTCAAGGGTCTCATGCTCTTGTGAGCTAAACTAGAAACCTAGCCTCCATTTATAATGTTTCCGAAAATTAGACTTACAGGCTTTTGAAGTGCAACCCTTTTGTCAGGTAGAGAGTACATAACAGCTATCTTTATCAGTAGGTACTTAGCTAATATTAACATTTTGGTTATTTTCACTACAATTTAAGGTATGTCAGTGTGTTTCATTAGTCAAGATTTTTTCGTGTGAAACATGATCCTCTGTCCCTGTATGTTTCCACAGCTGTTAGACCACAAAATTCACTTTTAATGTTAAGAATAGCAACAGAGATACTAATTTTGCAGTTTGGTTTAAGCTATTTTAATGTGGGCAGATTTCTGTTAGAATGTCTTTTGTGAAATTCTTAGGTTCTGAGTTGCTACCTGCTTACCGGTATGGTGCAAATTGGCACACATTTGTTTAATTTATAAATAATTCCTTCATTTTACGGGTTAGAGAATTGCACACCAGAGACTTAGTGACTTGTTCAAGGTTTCAAGGCTACTTGTTAACCAAACTAAAATTTAAAACCTACATTTTCTAATGCTTAGTCCACTGGATTTTCTATTACTCCATGCTGTCTCTTTATGACATAACTGCCTTATAAAAAGACTTTTAGACAGACACCTGCAGCCTATTAATAGTCATGTATGACAAGCCTGTTGAGAAACTATAACTTAATAAGATGATAGTTAAGAGTGATTAATAGGACTATATTTCCTCTCTCCCACTGTGCCACAACAAGCTAGGGTGGATATTTTATCATCTCAAAATGAGAAAGAACAGATGTACTGTCAGACCATAGATCATGGGTAGTCATTAACTTTTATTATCTTTATAAAAATGTTCAATTTCAAGCATACTTGGTGCTTCGAAATATGTTGTGCCTCCAATGTTGCAAAACCATTAAAGCTATAAACAGAATCTAATGACTATTACTATATAGTAATAGTAGTTTGTGAGTCAGTTGAGTCTAGTTGACTGAAATGGAGGGAAAGCAGTCATAAGTGGGTGCTGGATATACAGTTAACGGAGAAACTTTTCAAATCAATTCAACAAATTCCACTAAATGCCTCCTATGTACTCAACCCTGGTTTAGGGACTGTAACCCAGTCCCTACTCTCAAAGGAAATAAAATTCAGTTGGGCAGATGAAAGGCATATTTGAAACAGTGTTTAAAATTGTGTGGTATGGCACACATTTAAGTAAAAACCTGATACAGAGCTGTTTTATTGCAGGTGAAGAAGGGTTTGATGTAAACTCAGTGTCCAAGGCAGCTTTAAATATCCGACCTGAGTTACTAAATTGTTCTTCGGATTTGGAGACAAATAAATTGATCAGCCTTGTTGATTGAGCAAGTAACTGAAAAGGACAAAAATAATAAACTTATAGTAAAATAAGACTAATATGTGGCAGTCATTAAGTTTTCAAATTTTTAATTAGTGAATTATTAGCTTGCTCAATTCTAGGTTCTGGTCATTTCTTGAGAATTCTGATATCCTGGTGGTTTTCACTTTCTGGAAACTGTCATGTGTCCTTGTAGCAACCATACTTGGAAAGGACTCTACATTTTTCTCAGAAGAGTGGCAGTATCTGATTTCTTTTTGAAAGAAGCTTATTGTAGGAGTGGGGAAGAGTGCTTAAAATGATGTTTGTTACAGCATTCCTTTATATTGTATTTCTCTTTTCCTAATGTCTAGGAATAGAAAACAAAATGATATTCAAATTTCAAAATTCTGTCTACAGTAGCCTACTTGACATCATTCACTTTCATGTTTAGTAGGAATCTCAAACTTTAAATATGTCCAGAGAGGAGCTCTTGTTTCCCCATAGTCAGCTGTCACCCCAACCCAATGTTTCCTGTCTCAGCAAATGAGTACCACATAATTGCTCTAGCCACAAACCGAGATGATTCTTCCCTTTCTCTCATCTAGTACATTCAACCCATCACCAACTCTTATTGAATTTACCTGTCCAATATGTATTTTAAATTAGTCAATTTCTATTACCCTTGTCCAAGCCACCATCAGTTCCTCGGACTACAGCAGTCTAACACAAAAGAGGGCAGTGGAGATCATGGCTAGGGGTACAGACTGAGGAGCTAGACTGCCTGGATTTGAATTCCAGCTTTTACACTATTAGCTGTTGCTGGGAGCTCAGCTGAGCTGGGAGAGAGAGTGATGAGCTGTCAGGTGTTGGAGTAGCCAATTAAAACAAGCCAAAAATGAGAGTTAAGCCTTTGATCACTTAACTGTGATGGTATAAACAAAAGGCTAAAACTGGAGAAGACACTTCTTCCTGCTCCATTTCTCCCAAGGAACTGTGCATTGGTTAAAGGTCCAGGGGTTCAGCACAGACGTGGGGGTCATCTCGTTGAGTGACTCGAAACGATACACATTTAACAGTTTTGGAGGTTAGAAGTATGAGATGGGTGTCAGTGGGCTAAAGTCAAAGTATCAGCAGACTCTGTTCTTTCTAGAGGGAGAATCTATTCCTTTAGTAGCTTCCAGA